TGCTCAGATGGAAAAGAGAAGTATGTTTCATCACAAGTTCATTCATTATTCCCCCCTCCTCAAAATGGGGATGTCAGAGAAGTTATTAATGATTTAGAAAGAAAAAAAACACACACACCACAGATTTAATTAATCTGTAACATGAATACAAAATGAAATTTGAGTTAAGAAGTTGAAAATCTGTATATTTATGGATTTTCAATCAATTCCATATTCTTTTCCATATGGTAGAAAGTGGACTCAGAAGTAAGTGAAGAACTCTTTGGAAATTGATTTGGCAGATCTGCCCATTTGCGGAAAGGGAAGTGTCAGGATCTGAGTCTCTCAGAGTTCTTGGCATGCTTGTTTGCCATTTATGATGTATCTGCTTTGCTCTGTGTTATTTGATGGTGGGTTATGTCATACCTTTGGTATTGCTGGATGGAAAATGTGTTTATCTAATCATGGAGCTGGGTAAAAGCCGATATGAATAGGAGTCAATAGGCACTGGGTGCTGCAATAAAACAATAAAAATATAGCACATGTTACTATTTACAATTGTTTTGTTATGTGAATATACACATCTCTTAATTCTTGCTCTTTGCTATTTTAGCCCTTCTACCAAAATTTTAGCTCATGTTAACATTGGGCTGATCCAGACCAGCAGTTTAGCCCAGCCTGGGGGTGGAGTTGGGGTGGGGCAACCACACGCTGGACGCCCCGATTCCACCCTGACACCATGTACCTATCCGCACTGTGTGCTGCATCAGGACACCCTTCTGGTGCAGCATGTGCACACGCTGCCCCAAAAGGGTGCAAAAGAGCCATGGCGGCTGCTCCAAGGGCGGCCTTTTGCCATCCCCAAAAGGAATGGCATTTTGCTGCTCTTTTGGGGGTGGCAAACAGGAGGATCAGAGCCGCATCACATGGTTGCCCCGTCCCCGATCCACCTCTCCCAGGGCAGCCCAGAGCCACCTCAAACAGGCCATCTGCATCAGCCCATTAACTTAGAGGATTTAAAATAGAATAAAAATAAAAATTGAGTTTCTCCTTTATCCTCCCATTCAGCCTCAGCCCAATCACCCCATCTATTCTGCTGATTCCCAGTATTTTAAAAGTATACAGGCTAGAGCCTGTTGTGACCAAAAGACATGTGTTTAGGGAGCACAGCCCCCTTTGGATGTCACTAGGCAGTCTGAACCCCACTACACAAACACCTTTACCCAAAACTGCCAATTGTGTCCCTGCACTAGACAGATTTATAGAGAATCAGACTTGATGATGGAAGAAGCAAAGGTTAAATATGAATAGCTGAAGCCAAAGGCTATACAAAGATATTTTGTTACAATTTTTTTAGTATTAACTAGATGATTAAAAGCAGCAGAAGAGGAAAGCTGTATGATCAAACTGAAGGCAACAAATCGTGACATGGAAAATCCTACCTCTTTTATAATGAATCCTGTATTTTTGCAACAATCAAAGGGAATCACAGTTTGAAAGACATAATTATTTTTCAACCATGTGGTGAATTCAAAATGTTTAGTTGGTGATGCATCTAAAACATTGGAAACTGGAATCAGATATTCTAACTTTCCATTTGCTATGGTCTTCTGTTCCAGTTCTTTTTTCTCCTCCACATAGTTCCACCCTCAATTAATTTGTAAAATCAACATTTTATTGCAAGGCAAGTCATATACCATTAAAGAGTGATTGAATCTAATCTAAAGCAACTAACGCTGTTTAAAAAATAAAAAAAACTGTTATGACTACATATGGAGTGTCTAGTCCCAGTGACAATCCCTGCAAATATTAGATACTATGTGGCAAAACCCAGAGAGAATCTCTGCACATATATGCAGAATATGGAACTAGTTGCCTACCTGGGAAAAGAAACAAAATGGAACTGGTTGCCTACCTGGGAAAAGAAACAAAACAGAAGAGTCAGAGTAAAACAAAGTATTCTGCTCATTCATACCCAAAGTTTGCCAGTCAGTGGTGGCTGGTGGCTCCTATGTCAGTAGGACAGTGAATGATCCATCCAAGATGCTTAACCTAATCTTATCATAGGGTACACCACCATGGACAGATCTTGGAAGGCTCACAAACCTAGAGCAAATTCAGCTGCTTATTGACATGGGAGGCACCAGCCTACACTGCTTCCAGTATCCCCTTCCTCTTTCCTTTTTATAGGGTAGATCAGGGCCTTGTGTTATCATAATCACCACCACCTCCACCACCACATCATTGATGTGCATGATAATGTATAAAATAAAATGATATAAAATAAATATAAATAAAAAATAAAAATAAAAATGAGTTTCCCTCCCTCCCTCCCTCCCTCCCCCTCTCTCTCTCTCTCATCCAATTCAACTCCCTGGGATGCAGGAACACATAATCAAAGCACCCCTGACAGATGGCCATCGAGCCTCTGTTTAAAAACCTCCAAAGAAGGAGACTCCACCACACTCCAAGGGAGTGCGTTCTACTGTTGAACAGTTCTTACTGTTAGGATGTTCCTTCTAATGTTGAGGTGGATTCTCTTTTCCTGTAGTTTGAATCCATTGCTCCACCTCCTACTCTCTGGAGCAGCAGAAAACAACCTTGCTCCATCTTTAATATAGCAGCCCTTCAAACATTTAAACAGGGTTATCCCCCTCTTAACCTTATCTTCACCAGGCTAAATATATCCACCCCCCTAAGTTTCTCCTCATAGGACACAGTTTCCAGAATCTTCACCATTTTGGTTGCCCTCCCTTGGACATGCTCCAGTTTCTCCACATCCTTTTTTGAATTGTGGTGCTGAGAACTGGACACAGTATTCCAGGAGAGCCCTGACCAAAGCAGAATACAGCAGCACTATTCCTTCCCTTGATCTAGACACTACACTTCTATTGATGCAGCCTAAAATCACATTGGCTTTTTCAGATGCCCCATCACACTGTTGACTCATGTTCAATTTGTGGTCTACTAGGACTCCTAGATCCCTTAGCATATACTGTTGTCAAACCAGGTGTCCTCTATCTTATATCTATCTATGTATTTCATTTTTTTTTTCTGTCTAGGTGTAGTACCTTACATTTCTCACTGTTTAAATTAATTTTGTTAGTTTGGGCTCAGCTTTCTAATTTATTAAAGTCATTTTGATCCTTTCCTCTGGGGTATTAGCTACTATGTGGTTGCAAATTTAGTTTCCAGGTTGTTCACCCTTTTAAATGTAAGCTAAAATTTGCAGGTATGAAATTTAAACTTGTTAGAGTTCACTTTCATTAGTAGAACAGCAAAAATGTGGATCAGACTATTACTTTAAATCTGCACTCAAAAAGACAAACATGTAGTTTGTGGTTTAAAAGCAAACAATATTGGCTTTCATAAATATTTATACAACAAGCTAAAACCTAATCTAACTGGAGTTTATAAAGCAGGAAGAGAGATGTTAACATCCCTCAGAGAGGTCTGTGACAGACAGATGACTAGCAGTTACTGACTGCCTACTGGCAGTTTGGAAAGTACAGAGAGACAGTTAAGCTGCCACTTAAGATTGACAGAATGGGAGAGAGGGAGGGGTGAAGTCCTGCCTAACTGAAGAGGCACAGGGGAATGTAAAACATAAATGTTTCCAACAGCTAATCCTCTTAATTTGGTGTCATCTGCAAATTTTATAAGCATGCATATTCTTTCATCCAAGTCATTGATAAAAATGTTGAATAGTACTGGGCTCAGGACAGAGCCCTGTGGTACTCCACTGGTCACTCCTCTCCAGAGTGAAGAAGAGTCATTGCTGAGCATCCTTTGGGTTTGGTCAGTCAACTAATTACAAATCCACCAGCAATTGAAGTCTAGACCACATTTTACTAGCTTGTTTACAAGAATATAACTGGGGACCTTGTCAAAGACCTTACTGAAATCAAGATATGTTATATCCTCAGCATTCCCTTCATCTACCAAGCTGATATATATATATATATATATAAAGATCAGTTTAGTCTGGCATGACTTGCTTTTGGGAAACCCATGTTGACTTTTTACGATTATGGCATTTCCTTCTAAATGTTCATAAATTCTCTGTTTAATGAACTGTTCTAGAATCTTTCCAGGCATTGATGTCAGACTTACTGGGTGATAGTTGTTGGGATCCTCTTTTTTCCCCTTTTTGAAGATGGGGACAATGCCCTTCTACAGTCTGCTGGGACTTCTCCTGTTCTCCAGGAGTTCTCAAACATTATTGCCAATGGCTCCACTATTATATTTGCCAATTCTTTAACAAGGGGGTATTGTAATGATTTAATTATCACCTTTTTTTAAAAAAAAAGTCAGAAAGTTTATTTTGATTTGTAGTTGTTAACTTATTTCTACATAGTCATCATCCAGATTTTCACATTTTCCCAGCATTTCTTGACCCTCCTAATACCGTTATTGTAGAACTCTACAGATAGTGCCTTACCAGGATTTTACATCTTAATCACTTCTGGCACAACCTGTCACAAAAATAAAGGACACAATGAGATTATTTTCTCAACATAATGCAATTAGGAAGAGCTGATGGCACTGACAAAATTTCATCAATATACCATAATAACTTCCAGGTGATAATTATTACTTTACGATACCCCTTCATCAGACTCAATCTTCAGACTTCTACAATATCAGGTATTTGGAGGGTCAAGAAACACTGGGAAAAATGTGTAAATCTGGATGGTGACTATGTAGAGATAAGTTAACAATTACAATTCAAAACAAACTTTCTGTCAAAAAAATTTAAAGGTGATAATTAAAACTTTATGACAACCCCTCATAATACCCTGAAATGTAGCTCATCTGCTCTTAGAGACTTAAATTAGATTAACTAGGGATTCCTATACTACCTCTTTGCTTATGCCTTCTAGTCATTTGCAACTTATTATAGCCCTAAGGTGAATTTATTATGGGGTTTTCTTGGCAAGTTTCTTCAGAGAGGGTTTGCCATTGCCATTCTCTGAGGCTGAGAGTGTGGGACTTGTCCAAGTTCACCCAGTGGATTTCCATGGCCAAGCAGGGACTTAAACCCTGCTTTCTTGAGCCTTAGTCCAGTGCTCAAACCACTACACCACACTGCTGCATGCTTATTTATTGATTTATTTTATTTGTATGCCACCTTTCTCCCTGTAGGGACCCAAGGCAGTTCACAGACAAAAATAATTAAAATCTCAGTAAAATTCATAACAATTAAAATCAACACACAGTATAAAATCACATAAAATATACAAAAATTAAAAGCATAGCTAAAACCCACCTGCTCCATGAAAACCACCCTGATATGACTTATATACTGCTGCCCTCAAGGCCCAACAAGCCATCCCAGACCCTTAAAAATGGTTGAAAATTTTAAAGCAATTCCCACCCCCAGACTCATACAGACCACATTCCCAAAAGAAGTGGTCAATTTGTAACAGAAAAGAGGAGACATGCAGCCTTCCCATACAACCTGCAGGGAAGAGTGAGGAGAGGACACTTGGCCTGTTTTCCCTGCATACTTGCCCACCCCAGTATGAAACTTTTCTAAATATAAGTGTGCTCTACATTTGTGTCTCAAATCTTTGGATTCATTCATTCAATCTTCAATCTGGTTCCAGAAAGCTAACAATATTATCACTGAAATTCTTAACTCTCTCTGACTTATGGATAGACTGTGATCAACACCACAGGGAAACTCTGTTCCAGAAAACATCTGTAGAGCAGTTAAATAAAGCTGCAGCCAAGAGTTAATGAATATGTAGACTGGTGTCTCTAGTGTGGCTAAATTTAATTATATAGTACATGCAAGCATGTAATGTTATGAAGATGAAAATAGTATCCCTTGCAATAGAATCACCAAAGTCCTAAATTTTGTAGAATTAATGTGCCTCAAAATCAGTTCTTCCCATAGCCGTTTAAGTAGGATAAGAGAAAGAAAATATCAGATTCATAAAAGAATTAATATCTATCTTACCATGTGACAACAATAATCTCCCTTGAGTTTCAGAGCAAATGAAACAAAAATCAAGGCACATGAAGCCTAATCTTTGGTATTTCTAGTAACAGATCACCATCTCTCTGAGGCAAGGCATATCAGATTTAGAGTTTCCTAATGGACTTTGCTTCACATAATAAAACAGAACTAGGAAACCAGAAATAAGACATTGCAACATTGACACTACTAGTGTCTGTCTCTTTTTTATTTAGTGTGGTTACAAAGTTGTGTGGAACAGGCAAAATCAGAAGGAAAGTGGGGTAGGAAATAGAGACTTGATCCTGCTTTTTTCAAAAGTGTGTCAAAACTCCACTGCCCACTGTCAAGGCAGGATGAATACTCAAAGCCCAACCACACAGTAATGCCTCCCCACCACAGTTGCAGAAACACACTGCAGGCAACCCCCAAGTACCGTATTTTTCGGCATATAAGACACTCCGGCATATAAGACGCA